AATCTGTGACAAAAAGGGACATTCTGCTATCAATTGTTTTCAACATGGCTGTCAAATATGCCATAGAGTGGGACATACTGCTGCAAATTGTTTTGACAGAAATAACTCTTCATCTCAAGGTTATCAGCCATCATAGCCTTCCCAACAACAGTTCTCCCAATCCTATCCTCAACAGTTTTAAGTTCCACAACAATATATCAGTTCAAATAGTCAGCCATTTGGCATGTCTTATCAGAATTCAAATGGTGTACTTTATTCATTCCATTTTTCTGTTGCTATGATTGCTCGAACTAATACAAGTCCATCTGCACCTCAACAAAAGTATTGGCTTCTTGACTCAGAAGCCACTCACCACCACATGACCTATGATATCTCCAATCTCCAGATGTCAGCTCCTTATCCTAATGCAAATACGGTTACTGGTGCTAGCTAGTGGTAAAGGTTTGATCATTGCTCATATTGGCAACTCTAACCTTCCTACAAAGTCTCACAATTTTAAACTCAATTCTGTATTGCATGTACCAAGATTGTCCCAACACTTGTTGTCTATGCATTAATTATGTAAAGACAATAATTGTAGATATATTGTTGATGAGTTCTCTCTCTATGTACATGACAAGGTCACCGAGAGAACACTGTTCAAAGGACCGAGTAATCATGCAGTTTATCCCCTACCTGTGCTTAAACAACAAGCAGCCTTACCAGCGACATTTATTGGTCAAAAGGTGTCTTTTACATTGTGGCATTGTAGAATGGGTCACCCTAATAATCAAATAGTTAAGACAACACTTAGTAAGTCTTCCATTCATTTTCATTGTAATTCACAACCTCAATCTTGTACTCCTTGCTTGGAAGGCAAATTCCCCAAACTACCTTTTCCTTTACATGCTTCAAAATATGTAATTTCATTTGAAATCATACATACAGATGTATGGGGGCCATCACCTTGTATCTCAATTGAGGGGTATAGATATTATTGTCCTTCATAGACGAATGTACTAGGTATACATGTATTTTTCCAATAATTAATAAAGCTGTTGTGTTTGGTCACTTTATTCAATTTCAATCCTTTGTACTAACTCTTTTGCTGCTCAAGTTAAGGTTCTACAAAGTGATGGGGTGGGGAGTATATTGGCACAATTTTTTGATATTTTCTTAGGAGGAAAGGCATCATACATAAAAAAATATTGCCCTTATACCCCTGAACAGAATATTGGCACAATTTTTCAATCTTTTCTTAAGAGGACAGGCATCATACACCAAAAATCTTGCTCTTATATCCCTGAACAAAACGGGCTAGCAGAGAGGAAAAACAGGCATATTGTATAAACTGCACTTACTCTATTACAGCAAGCTTCCTTACCACCTAAGTTATGGTATCATGCATGTGCAATTGCCACGTATCTCATAAATAAGATGCCAACCTCCACATTACACATGAGATCTCATCTTGAAACTTTGTATCAATCTCCAAAACTTGATCACTTAAGAATTTTTGGTTGTGCTTGTTTCCCATTTATGAAACCCTATAGAACAACCAAACTTGAACCCAAGATCACTATTTACATTTTTTGGGATATGCATCTCAATACAAGGGTTATATTTGTTACTCTGTCAAAGATAACAAATTAATTTTGCCAAGGCATGTATTATTTGATGAAAGTCAATTCCCTGGTTCAACTAAGTTACAACACACAAAGTCTAGTTCATCTTTGTCTCCAGTTGCATTATCTTTTGTGACTCATACAATACATTTGGCCACCTTTTTACAGTTCCAATTCCATTGCCAAGTGTCTTTGTACTTGCATCCACACCTATTACCAGTCATGTTACTCAGTCCCCTACTCTCAACCAAGGTGATATTGTCTCCACTGCCATCTCTAGTTCATACTCAGATTCTTCCATGAGTTCAGACTCTTCTATGGGTTCAGCCTCATATTCTTACATGAGTTCAGACTTGCATCCAGATAGTATTATTTCTCAAGCTACTAAGTGACAACCTGCGCCACTACATTCTCATAACTTACATCCAATGCAGACAAGATCTAATTTTGGGATTTCTAAGAAGAAGCATGTATTTCATGCTACAGTTCATTCTAATTCCATTAAAGAACCATAGTCTTATATTGTAGCTTTTAAGTCTCCACAGTGGAAAATAACTATGCATGAAGAAATGGATGCATTGGTTCATCAACTAACTTGGCATCTAGTCTTATTACCTCTACACAAAAATTTAGTGGGTTGCTAGTGGAAATACAAAGTCAAAAAACATCTAGATGGGTCCATTGCTAGATATAAGGCTAGATTGGTGGCCAAATGATTCTCTCAAAAGGCTGGATTGGATTATTATGAAACATTCAGTCTAGTGGTGAAACCAATCACTGTGAGACTCATACTGTCTTTAGCAACAGCTCAGGGTAGGAAACTAAAGCAATTTGATGTCAAGAATGAGTTTTTACATGGGTTTCTTGAGGAAGAGGTATACATGCCCCAGCCTTAAGGTTTTGTTGACAAGATTCACCCAGAGTATGTTTGCAAATTAGACTTGTCACTTTATGGTCTCAAACATGCTCCCAGAGCTTGGAATGAAAGGTTCATTACTTTCTTACTTTCATTGGGTTTTAAATCTTCTCATGATGATCCATCATTGTTTGTCAAGCATGACGGCAAAAACATAACTCAGAGGTACTTTAGGCTGGGGCATTTGTTTGGAATCTTCTCATGATGATCCATCATTGTTTGGAATCTCATTATGTTGCTATCAAGAAGATTTTACGATATCTCAGAGGTACTTTAGGCTGGGGCATTTGTTTTAGACCTGGCTCATTGGACATAAAAGCATACACATATACTGATTAGGCTAGTGATCCCAATGATAGGCGCTCTACTATAGGTTTTGTTTTATTCTTAGGCTCTTATCCAGTTTCATGGAGCTCTAAACACACAGTTAGTCGATCCTGGATACAGGGCTATGGAAACCACCACCGTGGAAATTGTTTGGCTTCAACAACTTCTGAAAAAGCTACATATTGTCACTTCTTTTCCTCTATTGTTACATTGTGACAACATCTCAGCCATGGCTTTAGCTACCAATCATGTCTTGCACTCTAAAGCTAAACACACTGAGGTGGACTGTGGTGTTCAACAAGGTGCCATTTCTCTGCCATTTGTTGCTTCTGCAGACCAATATGTAGACATTTTTTGTATTAAAACGAAAAATTCTGGACTTGTTTTGTTGGGATAAAATGGTGATTAATGATTTATTAGCATAGAAGAGTGGATTATAGGTAACTGCGGTCATGAGTAGGGTAAAATTCCCCATAGGTTCTCCGGATCCGGAATGGTGGATAACCATGACTTGCCATCAGCTATCCCTTTTTTTAAAGAGAAGGAAAAGTTACTAGTTAACATGACGATCACCTGGTATAAGATTAGAGGGTAATTAAGCCTAAATTATATTAAACTGAAGTTTAATACTTAATAAACCTTAATTAGGAACTAATAGTACCTTTACGAGGTAATTAAGCCTAAGTTATATAAAACCTCTAATTCCAAACAGTTTTTGTCCCAAACCTGATAGTGGCTTTACTATTTTTTATGATTGATAATTAAGTATTTGATCTTGATAATAAATTAATCAGCTTGGTGATTATAACTTTTACTCTCATATATTGCAAATTAGACTGGTTAAAATTTTTAATTAACAAATTATTTTGAACAAGCTGTAATAGAATTCCAACCATTTTCATCCCAAATCCGATGCAAATTTACTATTTGTTAAGATTAATGTTTTAAGTATTGAACATTCTTTCAAACAAAAAGCTCAGCCACTTATTCTTCTTAAAACAATATGCTTAGTTTGAGGGTTGGACTAAGCCAACATGTTTAAGTTACGGTTTTGTGATATTCTTCGTTACTTGTAAGTAAGAGATTTTAGGTTTTCATATCATGAACGATGAGTTTAATATCAATACTAAATTTTTGTTAGTTTATTGTGAGGCTTAGCACAACTTGAAATTGGTGTCCCATACTCATGTTCCATGTATGACCCATGATTTTGTTAAAACCTCCAACTCATACTTAACCAAAAAGAAGGTTCCAAATCATTTTAAAGAAATGACATGATAACATGAGAATATGTATGACAAACCATTGTACAAATATGTAAGTGGACTAGTTTGTTTTGGGCACACATTCTCATTTCTTTTAGCTTCAATTTGATAGAAAGATGTCTGATTTCGATAATGAAACATAAAATGCTTAAGAAATTGTCAGCATTTTTCGTACACATAAATTACATATGTATAATAGTAGAGTCAATTCTACTTAGATAAGATGTTGGAGAAAACTATCAAATAAATTTTAAAAAGTGATCGTTTAGAGCTTTTGTGGAGTTCATGTTGCACATCAAATGGGGAAGAAGTGACAATGGCTTATTGAAACTTGATCTTAACCTACCTGCTCTAGTGGATGAGAATGATGGAGGCACAAGATAGTGTCCCGATCCATCAAGCTTGGATGTCACTACATATTATTTTTACAACCATGTAAAATACTCTTACGAACTTAGATTATAAATTGTCTAATTTATCTAAAGATGAAACAAACATACTTTCATCTTCAATCACAACTTTAAACTAGCCATAGGAGGATGTCAGTGACTTCATTTGAGATCTACCTATGTCCGTGAAGAGCCAAGTTAACATAATTTCAAGAGGTAAAAACAACTCCAACAAATAATCTCTCAATTTCCATTTTGAGATCATCCAATGATGTTAAAAAATTGAATGATTCTAAGTATGAAATATGTACGGTGAAAATGCAATAAGTGTGATAAGTGTTGAGTGTATGTGGCCAGTTTTGACGAAGTAAAAGTTTCTATTGGCTTTAAATGTCACAAAAGTTTGAAATTGCTCATCTCTTCAAGAAAAGTGTTGCAGAACGAATTTTGTAAATAACTAAAAACTAATTCAAAGAAATGACATGATAACATTAGAATATGTACGACAAAGCATTGTACAAATATGTAAAGCCTTTACACTGTTAAAAAATCTCAGTTGAATACAAGTAATTGGAAATGTAGTTTCTTACCTCGTTTATTGAAGGGAAAGAAATGGGATACTGCGACCAAATGGTGTTTGACACAAAAACTCGAAACCGTGTCTCATAAATAAAAAAAGGGGTACGTGCCACAAAGGTTCATTGCAATACATGAAATCCATAACATAATTCAGCCACAAAGAGCAAAACTTCCAAGACTCAGCATCACATGATCATAAATTCTTAAAAGCCGACTCATGAGTTGCTTTCTGCGGGGTCAGTCTTGCTAACAAGGCCTTGTTATGACAATGATCAGCATCGACAAAGTAAAAGTTTCCATTGGCCTTAAAAGTCACAAAAGGCCGATTAGTTTCTGCAGGCCGGATATCAGAAAACTTAATAGTCCTCGGGATGAATGTTGCAAGCCATGACATCATTTCCACCTCAAAACTGTCTGAACCAGGCTTCCACCTAAGCTTGTGGATGTATGGGGTCACGAACCAGTGAAGGGCGGCTGTGGTAGAAGCACTCAAGAATATCACTGAAGATGCCACCGCACCCTTCAAGATCACATTCATATCAGGAGATGTCATAAAGGTTATCACAGGGCCTAGAGATACAGAAAGGCAGCAGGTCGACAGCGAGAGAAGTTTCACTTTCTTGATAGTAGATGAGATTGGGCCATAGTAAACGACCCCCGAGTCCTTTTCATCTTGCCCAACTTGGCCACCTCTACGTGGTCCAATGCTGATTTTGCCATCATCTTCTCTTGTTGTGGCATGAGATGCCCATCTTTTCTGTGAAGCATTGATCTCGAAGCCAGACTGGAAACTAAGTTTAGTGTTCAGACCAGCAGCCCATGCTGCAGACCTGCATGGCTGATAACCTGAAGAAAAACATTTTATCATCAATAATAGTGACAGATATAAGGAAGGAAAAAACAAAAGAAGTAAGACGGAAATTTGGATGGCAAAAGAACAGAAAATGTGAACATGCAAAAGAATTAAAAGTGCGGGAGAGGGTGAGTGGGATTTTCAGGTGAGCACGCATTAAAGACAATGCAAATTACTAAAACAATGACATCAGAATCTCATGGGTTGAACTTCATCTAGCTTCCAAGGATCACAGATGTTACACTTTTTTAGCATATCAAATACAACTTCGCTATGCAAACGGCTAAGCATTAATTAATAGAACGTAGGGCTTCGACACTACTACATCACTAACTCAAAGAACCTAGCGACGAGAATCTACGGGAGTCTTTTGGCATCACACGGTAATACAAGTTTACAACAATCAGATCTTAATAAGATGTTGACCATTTTTGTTTTCTATGGTGCCCTCTCTCCATGTTTTGAGAGAGAGCAGATGGATCCTATCCCCTACATTCACATGAGCTTCACTTGAACGAGAAAAAGCAGATTAATAACTACGACCAATCATATAATCATCACGGAAGTCTTCATATAGATAATTATTAAGGACAAACCAAAAACTAAAGCCACCAGATGATACAATAGTAGAAGAAGTTAAAATGGAAACTGAAGATTGCCGGTGGAGCAGCATCTACAGTCACCATATCAAAAACCGTGTTATAACCTAGCAGTAATACACTCCAGCATAGTAATTAAGCTAGCAAGGCCTGATCTTTCGGCTTTTAAGACCGACAAAATGGTCCAATTTCTTGAAAACATGACTACAACACGAAAAGTACTTTGATTTTGCAAACCAGGGTTGTCAAGAAGAATAATAGCAGAAACCTCAATTGGGTGCCAACAAACACGTTTCACATTGATAATTTACACATGGAATTTGCCAAAACGAGAAGCTAAGCCAAAACCAAAAGTGTGTAATTTTTTACCAAATTTTTATATAAATTTGGCAGAAGAAGATCCAGAAAATGGTCTATGAAATCAGAAATAAATATGGGGTGCAATTCTTGTGAAGTGGTGAATTGGGTAGAGCATGAACTTTGGGTTCCTAGTATACTTCAATAATTTCGATTGAATTGGAAGAAAAAAAAAAAAAATGAAATCGAGGGAGAGATCTTAAACCCTAAACCCCAAATAGGTCGAGAAATTTGAGAGAGTAGAGAGAGAGTGCGAGGAACCTGAGCGGAGGTTTGAGGGTGTGAGTTGTCTGGAGTGTGATCGCAGCAACTGAAAGAGAGCCGCCCTCGTCATTTTTGCTCCCACTTCTCTTCACTCTATTTCTGATTCACCAAGAACAACCAATTTCGCGGTTTAACATTTCCTCAAAGAAAAAAAAAGGGGAAATATTTTCTCTCTTTTTTTTTTCTTTCGAAAATGGCCCTTAGAGTATAGTTTTCCAATATTTTGAAAAAAAATATTTCAATATGTAACCATTTACTATTTGATTGTCATAATGAAATTTCAATATTTCTTAGAACATAATGTTAGTCAATTTCTTTAAGACACATTTCTGATTTTGGATAACATTTTTCAAGGATAATATATGAAGTACAACTTGAAAAATAGACGATTTGGATTGTTGAAGTTCGGTTGGAGTAAGTCCCACAATAAATCATGCAAATTTAACGTATCTTCACAGACCAAGAACTACGAGATTGCCCATTTCATTCTGGGGTGACAAAGAGATCGTACAATTCGAGCCTCTTTTTCATGCTTTTTCGAAGGTCTGGAGAAAGCTATAAATCTTCCCTTTCCGAAAGGAATAACGTGAAATTCTTTTTCCTTTCCGCATGGATAAGAAGATTGGATCTAGCCGTTTGAAAAATGCTAGGCTAAGGGCATTATTGTTACTGATCGATAAAGATACCAATTAATAAAAAAAAAATCTTAAAATAAAAAGAGGGGGATAAAAGATTTCGGTTTATGGCACAATTCTAATCGAAATTGAAAGGGTTAGAATGAAATCATAGAAAAATGTATACTTTATTTTATTATGGTATTTACTTGGGATTGTAGTTCAATTGGTCAGAGCACCTGTAACATTCCACATCGACAAACAGAGATGGGGTGATGTGCCTTATATGTACATGCCCACCTCTATATAGCACGAGGCCTTTTGGGAACTCACTGGCTTTAGGTTCCATTGGAACTCCGAAGTTAAGCGAATTCGGGTGAGAGCATTCCCAGGATGGGTGACTCACGGGGAAGTTCTCATGTGAGTTCCCAGAAACAAAACCATGAAGGGGTGGCCGAGGCCCAAAGCGGACAATATTGTGCTACGGCGAAGTTGAGTATGGGATGTGACAGAATGGTATCAAAGCCATTCTACCATTCGGTGTGGATGTGACGGCGAGGACGCCGAGTTCCCCTTAAGTGGGGTGGATTATAACATCCCATATCGACTAACGGAGAGGAAGTGATGTGCCTTATATTTACATGCCCACCTCCATATAGTACGAGACATTTTGGGAACTTACCGGCTTCAGGTTCCATCGAAACTCCAATTTTAAGCGAGTTCAGGTGAGAGCATTCCCAGGATGGGTGACCTACTGGGAAGTTCTCGTGTGAGTTCCCAGAAACAAAACCGTGAGGGCGTGGCCAGGGCTCAAAACGGACAATATCGTGCTACGGCGGAGTTGAGTCTGGGATGTGACAGCACTGCCCTGTCAAGGCGGTTTTCAACAAATTCATTCATCTCAGTTATTTCACAAAAAGAAAAAGATGAAAATAGAAGATCAGTTGAATTTCAAATAGTTAGGTCATCTCTAATAGAGAGGGTTAAAGGTCCAAAAGCAAAAAAATGGCCTGATTTGTCAAAAAATTCATCTCCAACCAATGGCTAGGCTATAATTACGTGGAGCCCACTGGTTTGCCCAAATGTAGCCCCTATTAGCCCCTTTTTATGACTTAGCTCATCAATTGCAATAATTGATTTAAATTTAACAGCTATATTTGAAAAAAAATCCAACAATAGTTTAACTAAATTACCAATCAATTTAAAGTATAAACTTAACACTAATACATTATTGAGAGGGACTATGTTTAACCCATTCGGTTGAAGATGAGATATGAGTATAGCCTAACACTGATCATTATAAAATAATTTTTTGCAGAACTATAATTCTAGATGGGACTATGTTTAGCCCTTTCGGTTGGAAATGACCTTAGTTTCATCAATACGATACGAAGACTTCACATTTACAATTACACAAAAAAGACTATTTGTCTAGGAGAGAATCATGTAATAGTAATGTTCCTTTTATGTAGAAATATAAAATACATGAAACTTCCATACAACAGTGGGCATTTGGTCTAGTGGTATGATTCTCGCTTAGGGTGCGAGAGGTCCCGAGTTCAATTCTCGGAATGCCCCCTTTCTCTCCTTTTTATTCTTTTGATTTCTTCCTGCTTTCGGATTTTTTTACGCAGCCACCAGTTTCTCGAGGCCTTCTAGAAAAACCACCTCCCCCAAACGTCTTTTCTCTCTTTCGCGGGTTTTAACCATTTTCCTCTTTTGACTGCTCTCCCGGATTTCCACTAAGTCCTTTTTTTCCCCTTATTTTTGGATCACTTTTCAAGCCACCAAGTTGTTCTTCTTCCAGAAGCACCAAAACCAAAACCACCGAAGCCACGTCGCCAGCAACCTCCCATATCCTATTTCTAGAAACCCTCACTCCCTCCCTCCATATATACACACACACAGATCCTATCCCCAATCACCAAACACATCCAGCAACACAAACAGATCAACTTTATCACTACCCAGATCACAGATTCACAGACATGGAAAATTTCTCAGATTTCAACCGGCAAGAAGTCGAAGAAGACGCACTGTCCTTCTGCGATCTCCCGCTACACGACGAAATTGGGGAGTCGGAGGAGAACCCTATGGCCTCCGCTTCTTATTCTTCCGACCCAGATGCCTTTTTTGAATTCCCGGTAGACCCGATCCGCGGATACGTCCCCATGGACGTCGTTTTCTGCGGAAAACCAATCGACCTTCGGAACGAGGAGCCTCAAATCGAAAACCCATTTTTCTCCCGATCCGAATCATTCAAATTTTCATCTCCCTCCCACCCTCACTCTTACCGGTCGGAATCGGAGCTCCTGAGCTGCCGGTCGCACTCGCCGTCGAGCAATTCACGGAAGCACAAGGTGCTGATAGGACTGGTGAAGTACCAACCGGAGATGGACATGAATGAGATCAGAAAGCGGCAGGGTCGGCGCACTCCGGCGCTGATGTTCCCTATGATAAGCGGCGGGGAGCTAGCGAGTGTGGGCGGTGGAAGGAGTGGATCCGGTAAAGGGCATTGGCGGCTGATGAGGGCGCTGAGGTGTCGGTTCCACTTGTTAAACGCGTTGGCTAAGGCGACTCTTGGTTGTATGCCACGTGTCTGAGTTGGGTCGTCGTTGGACAACTTGGACTTAAGACCTGGATTAGTGGGTTCCAAGTCTTGGACTAGGAATCAAGCAACTGATTAATTTAAATTTGTTTATCTTTTGCTTTGTAGCTTCCTCATGTACAAAACTAATTGCAAAATTTTTATTATCGAAAGCGATGAAGAAGCGTAATACATCTTTTTCTCCGTTTAAAGGAGCTTGATCACTTAATTCTATTAGTTACAGAATACACTTTTCATTTTGAAGTCATTTGGATATACAATCCTTCTTTCACCAGCATAAGAATGATGGTGTAATATAGTGATACGAACTTGTTGACCCTAAAATTACAAAGCCTACGTGATGCGCAGGCCGAGTAATTATGAGCTAACTACGTCTTTGTGAATGCGGGTTTGCCAACTCTTAACCGAGCTCGATTGCTCGAGTATAATAAATGTGGTGGTGATGGTGTCAAATGTGCTAATGACTTGTGTTCTCGAGCGATTATAGCCCGAGGAAAGAGCACGTCTCGACCTTGAGTTTTAGAACCTGAAGACAAGGTTACTACGAAATTCAGGATTCCTTGCGCCAGGTTTGGCTACTTCGACTATACTCGTAAGAATATATGTGTGCCAAATTGTATCAGGTTGTAAGGATACATGTACTCAAAGGAGATAAACATTTTTATGTTGAACGTGGTTCGGTCGTCTATATGCCAAATTGCAAAATGCACCTGAGAGTAACAAATCATAGAATACTTCACATTGCTAAGAAACTAATGAAGTGACATCTTTCATTGAAAAAGTTAGAAACTCTTCACCGGTCGAGACTTGGATAGATAACCAACCAGAAGTAGTATTGTTCATTGATCTAAAGTGAAGGTGCTTTAGATCACCTGGTTCTACGGCTCTAGTGATGTTCACTTATCCAAATTAAGGTGTTGCTGGTTGCCAACACAATGTTGTTCACTTGTTCGATTCGAACTGAAGATGACACGAGGGTTAGGATAATTAGTGTGTTTTCTCATGTATGAGAAGAGTTTTATGTAGAGCATTTTGAGTTATTTATTGGAGTTGAAAGGGCCTTTACTATTGCAGAGCCTTCTCTATTTATAGGTAAGGCATATGTGATAAAAAAAACATGTCGAGTCAGAGTCCTGATGAGTTTGTATTTGCTTGGCATCTGCTTGAATATTCCCCTTATCCTTTCGTGGCCAAAACTTTATCTCCATCTAGACTCAACCTCTTTGAATCTAACTAGGACTTTGAATCTAGTCTCATTATGAGACTCATTCATCTTTTATACAATCGCGCATGCATTCTGATCCTTGAGATGATTCCTATTTATCCAATGCTCAATTTGATATCTGGCAATTTTCAAATCGTACAGAACTCGACTGAGCCACCCATATTTGATCTCATCAGAGTTCTTCCTTCATAAGAACTCGGTCGAACTGATCCTATTTATGGGTTAAAAACCCATTGGCCTGAATGATGCATATTGGCTGAGGTCCATGGTCCTTGGGTCGACCCTTCTCGGCGCAAATTCTCATTTCAGGCCCAAACACAACTAATGGACTCGTTTGGAAATACTTTTAAAATAACTAAAAACGTTATTAGTGGAAATGTTTTTGAAACCAATCTTTAGTAAAAACACAAGTGAATCCTGAAAAAACACTTGAAGTGCTCCCTAAAATAACCATATGAAAGTGATTTCGGAACCCAAATATATTTTCTTTAAAAGAACTTTCAATTATTTTAAAAGTACTTCTAAACAAATAACTAGACAAACACAATTTATAAATATTAATTTATAATTAAAAAACTACATGTCGACATTTAGTTTGACAAATTTTGTTGCCCTAATTGTTGAATGATAATCTTAAAATAAAAATTGCCAGTTGAGTCATTGGCGATTCGACAATAAGGCAAGTAGGGCGCCAGCCATTGTTAC